AGCTTGTGTCTTGGGATTTTCATCTTTTATTTCGGTATTTACAGAATATTTATATTTTTAGCGCGGCGATCAAAACAACGCGCTGTTTAGGAAAAACCGGAAATCGATTCTGTAGGTCGGCATGATTTGCACGTGCATCAATCGAGCTATAAACGTGCGTGCGAGTAAAAACCCGATATTTTGAAAAATTAAAAATAAATATTCCTACTCTGTGCCGTATTCAAACGAAACTTTGTACATGAAAGCGCTTGAATACAAGATGTATTTTACTCACATTGACTCTGAGCAAATTCTGAAGAGTTCAGTAGAGTGCATTGCCTGTTAATGGGTTAATAAGAGACCAATGTCAGATGTGTTTGTTAACCCATGTACTGACAGTACTCTGCCACTAACAAGTAAAATCGTCTGGCGTTACAGTGTAAATTGGTCTGGCGTTACCCAGAGTTAATACTAAATTGCATTGTCAGCTAATAGGTTAATAGACCTTAATGTCCACTTTTGACCCAATGGCTTCATTTTCATGTTGGCTATTTACTCGTATTCCGTGCACACAATTTAAGAATGAGTTTGTGAACGGGCTTAAATGATAAACGAGAAGGAAACATTGGGGATAATATAACCGAGAATTGTCCAGAAGTATAAATTTTTGCATTCTGTTCATACGCCATAAAGGCAGCACTTTCCTTGCGATAGTAACTCCTAGGAATAGATTTGCACCATTACGTCTCCCGAAAAGGTCTTTCATTTTTTTAAAAAGTCCATAAAATTTGCTTGCGGTTTAAGATTTGTATTCCTGCCTTTTGCACCATAGCACGTATCTCGTTATTTTCAGGCCAGTGTGAACGCCTGAGCAGGCGTCTTGTTAATATTAAATCTGGATTCTTTCACCGTGATGTCATGCCAAACGATGTCTTTTCTATTTTTAAAAAAGACCCTCTGTTGATTTATGATTTGGTAATATTTAGCTATTACAGTTGTATATTTGATTATTTTGTTATTGCTCAATAACTTTGAATTTGTTCTGAGAAAACAGTCAAACTTAAGACCAAACTTCTACGCATTTACTTATTTAGTAGTTTAACTGGCCATCACTTTTAAAACAGCAAGAAGATAAAGACAACGTGTACGTGTGAGTTATCCATGAAATAAATAGTTGGTCTACAAAATGAATTCCGTCTTCGTGGATAAAATTAATGAGTTATAAATAATCTCTCCTGTATGTGTTAAGCTACATGTAGGGATTTCCCCCGGTATGTTTCTTCTCTTTTGTATGGCTGTTTGTGGTTACGTGTTATCTGACATATAAATTTGGTCCAATTTCAATTACATTTATCCACCCATTTCTGGATGATATACATCTAGAACACAGGCAGTACTCAGTCCAAAAAAAAGTCAACTTGAAAGGGGGCTCAACTTTCACAGAGGGGGCCCCGGAATGCTGGAATTGCGAAACGTGTTCTGAAAATTGAGGTCGAAAATGGTCTGAAAAGTATTTTGAACCCCCCATTATCGCAAAAATAATGTTTGGACTTTGGAACGTTTTTCCCCAAAATCGTCGCATTCTGAATCGACTGGATTAGAGTGACAAGAGACGCGTAATCACAAACAGCCATATACCCAGTGACAAGAGACGCGTATAACAAACAGCCATACAAAAGAGAAGGAATATACCGGGGGAAATCCCTACATGTAGCATTTAACGCATACAGGAGAGATTTTTTGTAACTCATTTTTATCCACGAAGAGGTAATTCATTTTGTAAACCAACTATTTATTTCATGGATAACTCACCCGTACACGTTGTCTTTATCTTGCATGTTGCTGTTTTAAAAGTGATGGCCAGTTAAATTACTAACTGCGTAGAAGTTTGGTCTGAAGTTTGACTGTTTTCTCAGAACAACTGAATTCAAAGTTATTGAGCAACAACAAAATAAAAAATATACAACTGTAATTAATATTACCAAATCACAAATCAATAGAGGGTATTTTTTAAAAATAGAAAAGACACCTTTTGGCATGACATCACGTTGAAAGAATCCAGCTTTAATATTAATTAAATTAAAACTCTTTGCGAGGTCGTCCTCGAGAGGTTGACGGCTAGAAATTTCATATCTTCAGTTCAGTGCACGCTATGAAGACAGAAATACCACCATTCGATTCACAAATAAAAGATCAACTAACTCCGAACGATAGTTATAGTCATTATCAACATTGTAGCGATTTATGGGAGTTTGAAAGTCTAACGCGATCGTACACTTTCAAATTACGCGATTGTCTGAACAAAAATATAGACTAGCCATACCTTTCGCCGAAAATAACTTCGGCCACTTCAAACATATTGCCCTTGTAATAATAGTCTTGTTCGAATCCCCATCAAAAACACTATTCAGAGTGTTATTTGCAAGCCTGTATCTTCAAATTTGCATCTTTTATCACGGTATTTCCATTTCTTGTCCGGCTATGAAGATTATGCTTGTCAAGATTATGTTCCTCACAAGTAATCTACGCCTAAGTATAAACTTCCATGGATAACCTCTGCTATCAAACGGCACATGCGGCTGAAAGATCGCCTACATATAAAAAGGCTCTCAAGTCCCACAAACCTAAACACTGGGATGAGTTCAAGAAAGAACGGAACTTAGTCTCTCGTCTCGTCAAACAATCTCACAGTAGTTATCTGAATGACGTTATTGGCGCAAGCTTAGATACCAATCCAAAGAAATTCTGGTCGTATGTACGTACAAGTAAATCTGAGAGCTCTGGCATACCTTTATTAAAATTCAACGACAAATTATGTGTTTCTGATAAATCAAAAGCTGACGCCCTTAACTTCCAGTTCCATTCAGTATTCACCCGTGAGAATGCTCCAATTCCAAATAAAGGTCAATCTCCATACACCTCCATCTCAGATTTGATAATCAACTCCCAAGGTGTTGCCAAGCAACTCTCTGAACTTAACCCAGTAAGGCACTGTGGTCCTGATGAAATCCCAGTTAGAATCCCTAAAGAACTTTCTCCATCAATTTCGCATTTGTTTCATTTTCCAACAATCCTATGATTCTGGTACACTTCCACCTGACTGGTCAAAGGCCCTTGTTTCTGCTGTTTTTAAAAAGGACTTAAAATCCAACCCAGCCAACTACCGTCCAATCTCTCTGACGTGTCTGTGTTGTAAAGTCATGGAACATATCATTCTTAGCCATGTTTTAAAGCACTTAGCATATCATGATATCCTAATTAATGAACAACACGGATTTCGCAAACTATTTTCGTGTGAGACTCAACTAATTACGGCAATCAACGATGGGGCAAAAAGTATCAACCAGAAGAAAGAAACCGATGTGATTCTCTTGGACTTCAGTAAAGCCTTTGATTCGGTTCCTCGTCTTCGTCTGATGTCCAAATTAGACCATTATGGTATTAGAGGACTTTCCGCCAATTGGATCAAGGCTTTTCTTTCTAACCGCTTTCAAGTTGTCTCGGTAAATGGCTCCCACTCTCACCCTCAACCTGTCATATCTGGAGTACCTCAAGGAACAATTCTCGCACCTGTCTTATTTATTCTCTATATAAACGATATTTCTGAGAATATTAAATCCCAAATTCGCTTGTTTGCTGACGATGGAATCGTTCATAGAGAAATTAATAACGATCAGGACCACGTCACGTTACAAGAGGATTTAGTCAATCTAAATAATTGGGCTAACAAGTGGCAACTA